TCGCTTAGAAATCAGGACTGGAGTTTTTTACTCGAAAATAGTAACATAGAGCACATATTAACGTTTTACTCGATTTTAAATAATAAAATACAAACCTTCATACCACAAGTTCGTTGCTCAAGTACCTACATTTACCCAGTTTGGTATAATATAGCGTTAATAAAACTAATTAAAGAAAAAGATAGGACTCATGTGAATTGGAAGCGTCATAGAAACCCGATTGATTATGCATATTTTAGCTATCTCAGACGGACTATTAAGAAACTACAGACCGAAAGCCATCAATCATTCATTGCTTTCTCGCAACAAAGAATTAAGACTAATCCTAAATATTTTTGGTCTTATATAAAGTCCAAGAGAAAAGTAGACTCCTCTTATCCACATCAAATGACCTTTGATCAGAATATGTTAAATGCACCATCGGATATCTGTTCCGCATTCAGCAACATTTTTGAGAGAAACTTCTATGAACCAGCGGATCAATACCCAGCTAACTCAATAAATGAAACTCCACGATCTGACACTATACATGACATTAATGTTACTGAAGAATGTACTTATGAACTGCTTAAAAATCTTGACGTCAAAAAGGAGCTGGTTGCGACGGTATTCCACCGGTATTCTTCGTTCAATGTGCTAAATCTCTATCGGGTCCTGCGTCATTGGTCTTCAACAGGTGTCTTCGTGATGGATACTTTCCTAATATCTGGAAAAAGGCCCATATAGTGCCAATTCATAAAAAAGGATTGAGGACTTCAGTTAAAAATACCGACCTATATCTATACTTAACGTGTTGAGCAAAGTGTTCGAGCGGGTCGTACATAAATTTATCTATCCTGTAATATCTGTCTCAATACCAATAGAGCAGCATGGGTTCATGAAGGGTCGGTCCACAGCCACCAATCTGGGAGTATTTGTCGATTACGTATTAAGTAACATGGATAGCGGCTCTCAGATTGATGTGATTTACACGGATTTTGAGAAGGCGTTTGACCGTGTAGATCACATTATTCTTTTACGTAAACTTTATGAACTTGGTATCCGGGGTAACTTGCTTAGATGGAGGATTAAAGGAGGATTTTGCTCAGATTTTATTGCAATACCTTCCGGCGTTCCACAAGGATCCATACTGGGACCAATTCTGTACGCTTCATATTTGTACGACGTAGGTGCTTGCTTCGAACACGCTCGATTCCTTATGTACGCTAATGACACCAAAATATTTATAAAAATTAAAAATGATATGGATTGTACTGGCCTACAAGCTGATCTTAACCGTCTAGAACAATATTATACTGATAATCGAATTGGAATAAATAAATATAAATGTTCTTTTATCTCCTTTACTCGCAAGAAACATCCAATCAATTTTGAATACTATATTAGTAATGTTAAAATTGCAAAATCGGCTTGTGTTAGGGATCTCGGTGTTCACATTGATTGCAAGTTGACATTTTCTGATCATACAGAAATTATTAAAAACAAAGCGTACAGAAGCCTGGGTTTCGTATTGCGTGTTAGTCATCCCTTCTCAGACATAGGTTGCCTAAAAGTACTATATTACGCTTATGTTAGGAGCATCCTAGAATACTGTAGCATAGTTTGTAACCCTCAGTATATCATTTATACTCAAGATTTGGAGAAAATGCAAGAAAAATTCATAAAACACTTAAATTATCGGTCCCATTGCCTCTTTAAAAACTATGATGAATCCTGTCATTATCATAATCTCACGACTCTCAAAAATAGGCGTGTACTTGCTGACATGTCCTTTTTACACGGAATATGCAACGGATATATAGATAGCCCTGAACTATCAACCAAAATACTGAGTTTCTGCGCCCCGAAAGTTAGAACGAGACACACAAAATTATTTGCTGTAACACGATCAAAATCAAATTACGCACAAAAGGCATTGGTCAGTCGATTGCATAGAACTTTTAATAAGCAATTTAATGTTACTGACATTTTTCATAGTAGTAGACATGTATTTAAGAGGGAAGTTCTTGAAATACTTGAAGGAAATGGTTAATATGTACATTGAACACACACACAAACACACACACACACACACACAGAGACACACACACACACACACACACACACACACACACACACACACACACACACACACACACAAGCGCGCGCATACACGAACACACAGATCAGAGAGAAAGATAGACGCGCTGTTTTTAATTGTTAATTCTAAAATTCTATGTTTTTGTGGCTCAAACTTATTGATTGTCGGTCGATTAATTTAAGTTAAAAAATGTATAAAGTAGATCCGTTATTGGCTGTAAGTTTATTTCTTAAGTTCATTTACATTGTAATTAGGGCTGTGGATCTTGTAATAAATAAATAAATAAATAAATAAGTCGGGGTAAGGTCTCATCATAAATAACATAACGAGTACAATCTCGGCACAGAGCGGATCTTGCTCTTTTTGACCGTGACGCAGGTATCCTCTCCGGCTGATACTTCGTACCTGTCCTACCTGGGGTACAAATTAGAAAACTTGTTTTAGCCCCGGACTGGAGCTTGCGTATACGTCAGAGAGGATATCTGTTCTCGACACACCTCGGGAGTCTTAAAGGTGTAAAACCTGTCCATCCTTTGCCAGCGCGTAGACAGCGACGACCATCTCCGCTTCAACGGGTGCCTGTATAAGTCACATAGCGGTAATGCCGACACAGATCGACTCATCGACTACATTCAAATGGCTACAGATCCCATCCGTAGAGATCGTGATACTTGGCGATTTAACGCCCACCACGCCGAATGGCTGGGTACTCGTTTACCCGATCATGCGGGGAGATCTGTTTATGACTTTGCCTTGGCATATGGTCTGACACAACTGGATACTCCGCCTACGTGGATTCCAGATGTGAAGGATCATACATCTTCCCTGTTGGACCTTCTATTGACCTCTCATCAGGATCAGGTTTCGGTAGATGCCCCTCTTGGCTCTTTGGACCATTATCAGATCCAGAGTGTGGTGCCACTCACGCTCCCCGCGCGGTTGCGTTCTGCAGGCTGCCGCCGTGTTGGGCATTACAGGTTAGCGGATTGGGACGGAATGCTGTCTTTCTTTGCATCGTACCCATGGGGGCGGGTTTGCTTTTTGCCAGATGATCCCGGCGCTGTTGCTGACTCTGTCACTGATGTGGTACTACAGGAAATGGAAATATTTATTCCATCATCTGTGGTACCCATCGGAGGCAGATCTCAGCCTTGGTTTGGTCGCTCCTGTAAGACTGCATTACGCAGTGAGCAGGAGTGTTATCAGGCATGGGCCTCCTGCTTCGGCCGCTCGGGGGCCTATGCTTCAGCTGTTCGGGATGTAAACACCAGCATGCTTAAAAATAAGTATAACTTCGACTCCAAGTCCTTCAAAATAGTTATTGCCAAAGCAAAGTATGAGCACATTGGCAGAATTGGCGAGAAATTAGTTCGCCTTCCTTCGGGAATGCGGCATTCTGTTCTCTCGCCAAGGCTGTTCAAGAAAATTTCTGTTAGCCATCACTACCATTACTTCACAGGGAGGACGTCTTACTAACCCACGCCGCAAAACAGAAAGCCGAGCTTTTAGGCTCTCTTTTTGGGTCCAACTTGACTCTTGATGACGGAGGTACACACCACCCACCTTTTCGCAGTATGAGTGCTCTTTCCTGATGTGCGATTCACACAGTGCTCAGTACGTAAAGCAATCCCCTCCCTGAACATACAAAAGTCGAGTGGATCGGACGGAATCCCGCTAGTTGTGCTGAGGATGTGCGCTCCAGAGTTGGCACCAGTTCTAACGCGTCTTTTCTCGTACTCCTACTCCCTACGCGTTGTCCCGAAATCATGGAAGATAGCTTTCGAGCACCCGATCCCTAAAATGGTAACCGCTTTGATTCGTCCAACTACAGGCCTATCGCAATCACCTCCTTGTTCTCGAAAATAACGGAATCCATTATTAAGTGCCAGCTCATACGGTACCTTGAGGATCACCAGCTGATTAGTGACTGCCAGTACGGTTTCCGTCGGGGTCGCTTAGCTTTTGATCTTTTTGTTTACCTAACACATAGAGTCGATTACCATCAGCAATTTTTCCGGACCGATACGACTTATGGACTATCAAGAAAAGAGCCTACTTCTTTTTGAAAGGCCGGCAATGGATCTGTCATCGATTCCCCTGATGTTGCAGTTATTCATGGGCGGCGGTAGTCACTAACCATCAGGTGAGCCGCATGCTCGTTTGCCCACTCTCCTATAAAATAAAAAACCCATAGTTCTACTTGTCGAGGAGTTCCAGTAGCAGATATCGAAGTACACCTTCTGGTCTCCCATAATGTCTAAGACGTATAAGTACATTTATATATAAATCCTACGTACTTTTAGCGGAACAAAATATTGTAATAAAAATCTGTGATTATAAAAATACCTTGGGCAAGCATGTATCAAATTTGATTTTTGGAATATTTTATACTTCTAAAGCGATCGATATTTTTCAGCACGAACCGCTATAAACAAACGACCACCCACGATGGCGATCTGAGCCCGGATTAAAAAATTACTCTGTGGCTGGAAGTGAGACAAAGTGTATTCAGTAAAATAAATTAATACAAGGCTGCTCAAAACACCGTAAACTTCGCTATTTCGCTGCCGAAAAAAATTAATTGTAACTAAACAAAACAAAATTAAACTGCCATTTACACTCCTTGGCTATCCCACATGATAGATGAAGAGTTTAAAAAATATACACACCGGCACAATTAGCGGAACAGAAAAAAAAGTGAGACTATGAGATAATAACGCATATATTTGACGAAAATGTAATTAGACACAAAATAACAAATTGATTAACATCTTTTAACAACGACTTTGAAAAGTCTTCGTTATTTTTTATTGAAAAATAAAGAAATTTGAAATAAGTGAAATTTTTAGATCATTATGAACCATCACAAAAAATAAAAAAAGTAAGCATTAAATGATTTAACAATAAAATTAAAGCAAAATTAATAACGAGTGTTTCCCCCTCTTGCTCTGATTACGGTTTCCATTCGTCTGGGCATACTACAGATTATGTTATCGATGATTTCTTGAGGTAACCGCTCCCACTCCTCAAGTAATGCGTTTCCAAGTTCATTCAGATTGTTGGGGGGTGGCATTCTGGATTTAACCCTTCTTTTTAGCAAGTCCCAGACATGCTCTATCGGATTCATATCGGGGGAATTTGCTGGCCACTGCATCACCGGTATACCTACGTGGCTCAGATATACCTGTACCGATTGTGCACTATGAGCACGAACATTATCTTGCATTAGAACAAAGTCGTCACCAATAAATGGGGTAAATGGTACAACATGTTCTTCTAAAATGTCTCTGATGTATCGATCTGCTGTCATGGTCCGTCCTGTGACTATCACTAACTCCGTGCGAGCTCCCAAACATATCCCTCCCCAAACCATAATCGAGCCGCCACCATAAGCCACTGTGTGTTCAAAATTAGACTGTATGTGGCGTTCTCCTTTGCGTCTCCATATTCGCTGTCTCCCATCGATCTGTTTTAAAAGAACTCTGCACCCATCAGTAAAGAGACCCTGCTGCCATTCGTTCAAATCCCAATGACGATGTTCTCGCGCATAGCATAATCGGTTTACGCGGTGACGTCTCTCAAGTTTTGGGCCTTTGGCAGGTATATACGACCCTAAACCAACTTTTTCAAATCTCCTGCGAACTGTACGCTCACTTACTCGTACTCCTCGAACGTCTTCCAGTTCATTTCGAGCTTGTACAGCCGTTAATCGCGTATTCCTACGAACTCCAAGTTGTAAAAAACTGTCATCACGCCTCGATGTACATCTTTTTCTACCTTGACCCCTCCTCCTCACAAGAGAATTAGACGATCTGTACCGCTGCATGCTGCGATGAATCGTTGATACTGGTCGACGAAGCCTTGAGGCAATCGATCTGTAGGTATGGCCATTTCTTCTCATTTCATCAGCCCTAATGATTTCCAGTGATGTTAAGTCAGGCATAATAAAGAGCTTTTAATAAACAAAATTGCCTATAGAATAAAAAATTTATAAAAAACCATTAAGTGAAATTTTTCAAAAAAATTACAATTACGTAGTTATTACTCGAACAAGTTGACAAAACGTATTGTTCGGGAAAATAAAACAAATGAATGAAAAAAGTGTATGTCATCTAATTTTCTATTTTCAAATTTGACAATAAATTAAAAAAATATCATAACTGGCCAGTTCCTCAAGTAAAAGATTTTAAAATCCTGCTTTTTTGTGTTCCGCTAATTGTGCCGGTGTGTATAGCTTAAGCTTAGTAATTGATATTTTTAAAAGTTATCCTGTTTACGCTTCCCAGCGGACGTGATAAATCTACACCTTATGCTACTAAAACCGCTTTTTATGTAAAAATAGTAATAGATCGATTTAAAAAATAGTGAGAATAATAATTTATATGTTCAATATGATTTTTAGATACGATTTCACGAGACAAAACGTTGGAATCTTGATTCTAAGCGCTAGTAGAACATACCTACCTACACGCCAACCTTCATTTAAAAACCTCGAAATTATTCTGATAAACATTCCGCATTTAAAATAGCTTTCATACTACGCCCGGACGTAAAGTTGCATATTAATTATATATTTAATATTAATCAAGTACAAAAGCTCGCTCCGACATGCTCAATATTGATAAATAAATTGATTGTCCTCCTACCGCTGACGTTTTCACGAAAGCTCATTATGGAGAGTGACCGAAGTAATTTAAATCTCCGCAAAATTGTTGTGCAAATGTGACCGTGGCAGAGCATGGAGTCATGGGGTTGGTAAGCATGAAAACGCTTTCCTTTTAACTTTTAAAATCAACTGTGAAGTTCTGACGAAATTAATTCTAACGTTAACTTACAGTAATTTAATTCGTTCTATTGTAACGTCTAATCTCGTAACCTACGAATTAAGTTACAAAGTAGAATTAAGTCCAAGCATGTATATGCCAGAACTGGGCATAGGCATCTTCTCAATACTGCGATGATTTTGTAGCAAAAAAAGGTTCCGAGAGAGTTCGTGCTGCTGAATAGTTGGTCAACCAGACCGAAATAGAGAGTAATCTGCGCAGGACGTATTTATAATGCACAAGTATCACCGAATAATTGACGGCTCCGTGGCGCAGTGGCTTAGCAATGAGTTGCTGCGCTGGGGGGCGCGGGTTCGAATCTCGCACGGAACAAGTATTTGTATGGCCTACAAATGATTGTTCCGGGTCTGGATGTTTGTCCTTGTAAAATTTGTGTTTGTAAACTGCCTCCACGATACAGGAGAAAACCCTAGTGTGGGGGTAACGTTTTAAAAAAAAATATTTTAATTTCCTTAATATTTTAAAATGTGTATTATATTTCAAAGTAAAAAAAAAGTTCAAATAAATTTGTATCAAAGAAAAAAGTAAAATGTTCAGTGAGAGAGTTTCATTTATTACCTGGCATGACGAGGGTTAGTGAAAAATGGTCTCTCGGTGAACTTCGCCCGAACTATGAATGAAGTAGAAACTATTTTTATCACGGAACTGTAGAGATTGCGGACGTTCAATTAAGTATTTTTAATTTTAAAATGTCTATAGAAATTATTTTGCATAACAAAAATATAAAGCTTAACTTTCTTTATAGAATAAGTTTGACAAATGAGTACACAGTCATGAGGCACAAATGTACGCGGAGGCTTATAGACACGTACATTTATCCTCGATTAAGAATCGAAATGCAGATGCGTTGTCACCCCTGAGGACTGAAATGGAAAGCCTTATTACCAGTGAAAACGGTTGCCAGTTCTCTACACTCACAATAGGAAACACAGCAATATTAAGCTTTTACTCTGGTCTTCTGTGAGAGAGTTTTCCTTCCTCGGTCAAGCCAGCCCACTGACAATTGGCACGTCTGCAGCATGGTTCTAACACGTGGTAAAACTAAGCATTGAATATTTACATCATATATTCCGTAAGAAATAATCACTAAAAAATACTATTACTTTCCCTTAATAAAGATTTTCTTAAGCCTATGCTATAGATAGAGAAAGCTGGAACAGGAGATGGACATCGGCATCTTCCTGATAAGAAATCTAAATTATAAAAATCTGCTTTTGCCAACCCGCCAAGCGAAGCAACTATGGCAAATATTCCCCTATAAGGCAATCTATGGGGGAGGCGGGGAGTGTTGCTGTATTTCATATGGTGAGTGTAGAGAACCGGAGACCCCTTTTACTGAAAACGAGGCATTCCATCTAAGTCTTCAGGGGTGACAACGCATCTGCATTTTGATTCTTAATCGAGGATAAATGTAGATGTCTATGGACCACTGCATTCACTTACCATCAGGTGGCCTATATTCAGCAGAAAGTTGTAATAGTGTACTTTAAATAAGCAATTGTTGCATGTATGTAATATGTCACAACTACAAGCCTAAGTTCGTGTACACAGGCCTAAAAGCTACAGCTAGGTGCAGCCTATTGGTAGCTTTGGTGTATACGAGAACATATTTATGGCTAAAACTGGATTTGACTGGATACTTCAGACTAAAAGTAGGTGTAGTAAAGTCCGAATAATAATTAAAATAATTATGACTTATATTAACTATGGCCAAATTATGACACCAATGAAGAAATATCGGCGATAGTAGGTTAAGGTTAGGTGTAAAAAAAAAATTTTTAATACATTAATTACCTACTTATAAGCAATACGAGTACATACATATATTAAGTCGCGTATCAATTAGGCGCTCTTGGCCCGCTCGCCATGAATGACCACGTCGACCAGTGCTTAGCGCGGAACGCGTTCCAAATGTTCAAAGTATGTATATCAACTAAGCGCTCCTAGCGTGCGCAGCAGCGGTTCCAGTGTTTGACCATTCAACATGGATGTCGGTCGTGTACAAGCAGCTGCTGTTTTCATAGTTCTCTCCATGCATCTTCTCTGAACGCCTTATTATGATAACAAGTAGTAAAATTAAAAATTTTGTTCAACCGATTTCAATATTAATTAAAAGGATAACTCAAACACTACTGGTCAGACCGTAATCAAATCACCAGCTTTCAAATAAAAAAAGAATCATAAAAATCTGTTCATCTAGAAAAAAGTTATGAGGTAACACACATAAAAAACGTACAGTCGAATTGAGTACCACCTCCTTTTTGAAGTCGGTTGAAAAACGACTTTTGCTATTTCACCGCAGTTCTTTTGAAGCATATAATTTTATCAATTTACGGCAATTCTGGTTATCCATAGTTCGGAACGTAATGAACACACGAATGATCAAAGCAGCCATCCCAACCGGCGCGCGCGCCAAAACTGAACTACTTTGATATGCGGCAAAAAACCGACAGCAGACTGCAGATAGAACGGCCTGCTCCACGTTTGAGCGTTCCAACGAACAATTTGGCGCGCGTTCCAAGGATACACGCGCCTGAAACGCGCGCCAATGTTAGACCTCTTGGAGCGCCCAATCTATACGCAAAATCCCATAAGACATTATGCTATGGAAATAACTGAAATAAACTAATCTAGCTGTCACGACGCTAGTAGGATCTCTAATTTTTTTACAGCATAAGCTACAGAGCTTAGTCTGCTTGCTACTTTTGATATATGGGGACTCCATCGAAGCTTTGCGTCGAGAGTGATGTCAAGAAAAACAGAGGATTCAACACATTGGTATTCAGATTTTAACATTCGTTGTTGTAAATTTAATACATTTAGTTTTATTGTCGTTTAAATGCAGATTTTTAACTTTAAATCAATGCACTAATTTTTATATAGTATTATTCACTTCGTAACATCTAAATGATAGACGTTTAAGTTTAAAAATCAAGGAAGTATCATCAGCAAATAAGACTATATCATGATTTTTGATGCCTTCGTGGCGCAGTGGCTTAGCAATGAGTTGCTGCGCTGGGGGGCGCGGGTTTGAATCCCGCACGGAACAAGTATTTGTATGGCCTACAAATAATTGTTCCGGGTCTGGATGTTTTTTCTTGTGAAATTTGTGTTTGTAAACTGCCTCCACGATACAGGAGAAAATCCTAGTGTGTAGGTAACGTTTTTTTTTTTGAAGAAAAAAAGTATTTAGTATTTAAAATTATCGCCTAGATGGGAAGTTATGTCATTAATATACACTAAACATAGGAATGGGCCAAGAATTGAGCCTTTAGGGACACCCATCGTCGTCCGTAAGACTCGGAAGAACTTTTATTATTGATAATAACTTTCTGCATTCGATTACTTAAATATAAAAAAAATAATTTTAAGCACTGTGTTCTTGACACCATAGTACTGTAGCTTCCTGATTAATGTCTCATGGTGAACACAGTCGAAGGCCTTGCAGAGGTCAAAAAACGCACCCAAAGCATCTTCTGAATTCTCATATGCACAAAAAATATGTTTTATAAGTTTGACTCTGGCGTCGGTAGCCGAGCGACCCCTTGTTAAACCAAATTGATTTTCATGAAGCAATTTATTTATATTAAAAAAAACTTAACATCTGATCTAAAATATTTTTTTCAAAAATGAGTGAATGTAACGTAGATAGATATTCGATACATTTTGAAGTTTTATTACCACAAGTGGTAAAATTAAAAATTTTGTACAACCGACTTCAATACTTTTTTTTTAAATAGTCTGGCTGTACAAAAAAACTCGATATTTAGGTACCACACGAGCTCACTGAAAGAAACCTAAATAATCGTGTACTCACTTGCGATTCTCTATTGAAACGTAATAAAACCGAACCATTTTTGAAAAGATTGATCACTGATGATAAAAAGTGGATCACCTACGACAAGGACGTGTAAAAAAATCATGGTCAGTGGATAGTCAAGCTCCACAAACTGTAGCGAATACCAGAATAACACGCAATAAGGTGATGCTGTGTCTATGGTGGGATTGGAAGGGCGTCGTTTATTATGAGCTTTTACCGCCGGGCAAAACCATCAATCCGGATTCTTACTGCCAATGACTAATGAAACTCTTACTTACT